GCACCCGGTAACCACCCACAAGATAGGTGTTTGATAGAAAAGAAGGAGCAAACCACACCAGAGCATCCGCCAACTGACCATTGTTATCGTGCAGCCCTACTCCTGACTACCAGCTGAGAAAAAAGACAGGAAAATACGACACTTCTGGCATTGTTGCGGCAAAACAAAGCAGAAAGGGAAAAGTAAGATAAAATGTCATAGATGAGCACAGACTGAGGAAAAAGCTTTCAGTTTGAGTGCACATCGACACTATAACGACTACTTTAAAATTTGCGAAATTGCATAGGCTTAACGCCCCTTTCAACACTGAAAGGTTATTTAAGGAGCTGGGTGCACCATTGTAACGTCCATCTCCTTTTTTTTTTTGGGGGGGGGGGGGGGAGAGAGAGAGAGGGGGGGGGGGGGGTGCAGATAAACGAGCAATCACCAGAGGTCACCGGAAGCGGGGACGGATGCCCATTACCATCACATGCGGGCAAACCCGTTGATTCGAGTCATCCTGAGTAAAAGACTTGAGTGAACACCTCACTGCTCACGCACTGACACGGACAAGTAGACTTAAAAGGTTGACAGCAGGTCTGTGCGCTTGGCCGTGGTCTTCTCCCTCCATTTCAGTCCAGTGTTACTAATATTGCTATAATCTACCCTCAGTTTAGTTTTCATAAGAGTTTTACGGAAATTGCAACACAATAAAGTTATATAAGTGCCCAAGATAAGAGGTGTTTTTTTGGTGGTAAGCGTTTTACAGGGCTCGCAACTGAATAATGTCATATTATGAGTGCGCTAAGAGGTGTTACAGGAGAATAAGTAACAAACACAAAAAAGGAAGACGAGGAGATAAGGACGACAAGTGTTGGTGTAAGAAAGAAGGAGAAAAACACACCAGATTAGTTTAGTTTTAGTAAGAGTTTTACGACGCTTGCAAATCAACTAAGTCATACAAGTGCCGAATATTAGAGGTTTTACAAGAGAGTAACAAACATAAGAAAGAAGGAGGGATAACGATGACGGGTGGGTTCTTTTTAAGTTTTAGTAAGAATTTTACGGGCACTTGCAACACAATAAGGTCATATAAGTGCCGAAGATTAGAGGTGTTACAAGAGAGTAACAAACACAAAAAAACAGGAGGGGAGATAAAGACGATAGATGTTTGATAGGAAAGAAGAAGCAAACCACACCAGAGCACCCGGTAACCACCCACAAGATAGGTGTTTGATAGAAAAGAAGGAGCAAACCACACCAGAGCATCCGCCAACTGACCATTGTTATCGTGCAGCCCTACTCCTGACTACCAGCTGAGAAAAAAGACAGGAAAATACGACACTTCTGGCATTGTTGCGGCAAAACAAAGCAGAAAGGGAAAAGTAAGATAAAATGTCATAGATGAGCACAGACTGAGGAAAAAGCTTTCAGTTTGAGTGCACATCGACACTATAACGACTACTTTAAAATTTGCGAAATTGCATAGGCTTAACGCCCCTTTCAACACTGAAAGGTTATTTAAGGAGCTGGGTGCACCATTGTAACGTCCATCTCCTTTTTTTTTGGGGGGGGGGGGGGGGTAAGTGTTTACGGCGCTAGCAACTGCATAAGGTCATATGAGCGCGCGGGACACACCTAATATTTTCAGTTGGTAGGAAATTTTGAATTTTGCCCGGGTGGCGGCCGAAGCCTACTCTTATCGATTTTAGACCACCAAGGGATCTTTAACGGGCGCAACTTGCACACGGGCCCTTCGAGATTTTTCGCCCTTGTCCGAGAAGGCTAGGTGTAAATCTTTCCTACCAGAAGATCAGGGGTGTGGCAGAAAGACAGCAGTAAGGAAGAGCCAAGGAGTAGCAGTAGAAAGGCAGCAGCAAGAGTCAGGAGCCCAGAGGAGGGGGCGAAGGAGGTGAGGGGGTGGGGGGCAGAAAGCAGACGACAGAGCATTGCTGGAGAGCAGGAAAGGAGGTGAAAGGAGACAATTTTAGAGAACAAAATGTTTCAGTCGCTACCCGGATTCGAACCCGGGACCTTTGAATGAGAGGCCAACACCTTAACCTCAAGGCCACGAGAGCCCCCTCTCGTCCATCTACGATAAGACCAAGCCAAACGGGTGGAAACCCTTAAAACCTCCACCAAAACTACTTATAATGCCCCGTCGAAGATTCTAAAGAGGGTCATCCACCGCGTGCCCAACTTTGTGGAGCGTGGGAAAGTCATGATAAACTGACTGAAATACATGACAGATTGTAAAGTCGCAGGACCTACCACAGGCATTCCCCCGATCAAGAACTGACTAGGAAAGTAAAGGTAACAGATGCTTTGGGAAAGGCAACCAATAAAACGTGAAAACACACACACACACACACACACACACACACACACACACACACACACACACACACACACACACACACACACACACACACACACACACACAAACAACAGCTCCTATTAGGTGGATAAAAAAGATACTACCAAATGCATCCACCGCTTACTTACAAAATAAAGCAGAGAGACATCCCACCCCCTCCCCCGCCTTGTATTCCCTCAAATTACTCCACGCCTCGATCCCTTTCCAAAAACAGGTAACGGCAGGGAGGATTGATTGTCGTTTTACACGAGTCTTCAAAGTTCTGTAAGTCCAAAAAGCTCAATACAAAATCTTCCTGTCGGAGAGAGAATTTTTTAAACTAAAAAGTATCAAAATTGAACGTACAACTCTCTCAGTCATCTGAACTGTTGTCCAACGAAGATTAAGCAATATATGGCGTGCCGGATACGCACAGGGTGGGGCAAAAAAAACGAGAGAAAAGAATAAGCGGCAGTCCAAACAAAGCGAACAGACATTACTCAGCACTGGTTTTACTTTTCCCTTTCCTATTCAGGAACACACACACACACACACACACACACACACACACACACACACACACACACACACACACACACACACACACACGTTTACACACGCTCACACGCGACAACACACACAATGCTCACACAAGATAACAATCTTGGCCGGTCCGGCAACCTCCTGGGCAGACCTTAGACCCACATGGCACGAGGTCACTGGCTTTGAAAGCAATTCCAAAACCTCTTACGGCTGCTACAAAAAAGCCACACAACACACACACAGACCGTTCGACTGAGCTTCCTAACGGCCCATTGTTGATCCGAAGGGCAGACGCCCGTCCATCGTAGGGCAACGGTTGACCACGAGGCAAAAACCTTCCAACTACAACAACAAAGCAATACAGGTGGAGCCGTATTTACCCTGGGCCAGATAATGTTGACGACAGACCACACGCCCGCCCCTGACCAAAACGTTACATCAGCAAAATACGAGAATACTGATAGTACATTTCGTCTCTGAGACGGAGCACAATCCATCCCTCTCTTCTTCGCTGCCTCTAAATATAATACGCTCCTCTGCGGTTTGGGTCTGTTCAGCTTCACTTTTTTTCTCTTCCCGCCTCGTTGTCACTGTTTTCTCTTCCGTCTAGGAGTCGAACTGAGACCAACACGAGAAGAACCCCCACGCAGACACTCTTCAAATAACTCCCCGCGGCCTTCTCGGGGGATTACCATGAATAATTTAGGCGGCGTTACAAAAATGAAAGCTGCAGCCCCGGAAGCTTAACCCTTTTGTCCAAGCCGAGGACGGCAACTGAACAGGTCTTTCATAAACACGCATCGATCTGGCCCTCTTTTAGGCGATGGAGACAAAGAATTTGTTTGTGCATCCTAAGCCAATTCGAGAGACTTGCGCAGAATGCAAGCTCCAAATAAAAGCCATTATAGGGGGGGAAACAGGGCGGTACGGCGGTGGCCAGTGGAGCTCCCATGCCACGCGTTTGATCCGTGCGGACAAGTGGCTTCTGCATGTGGGAGAATAGGAGAGTATACTAACTTTCAGAGGAAAGGAGGGAGTGGGTGGGGAGGGACACAGGGGGGGGGGCACACAGGGCGTTGACAGTTGGAAGTTCGTTCGCCCCGTTATCGCGAATCGAGAGCAAATAAACAAGTCTGTGAGGAGAATGTGGGAGCCCTTGTTAGAAAACAAAAAGACATCCAGCTTTATGTGATTCCCCCCCCCCCCCCCCCAGGTCCCAGAGGGGCAGGCTTATTTTCGTCCGAGTCCGATCCATTGATTACAAATGCACTTGCTTCGAGGTCCAATTTGTGAGCTTGTGGCCCTGGTTTCGTTTTAATTCTTCAAAACTCATGCACGGTTCAGTATTGAACAAGCACGGCCCGGAGAAAGGTGGTCAAGAAGGAGGCTCAACAGATAGCAAACAGTGTCCAGTATGCATGCTTACACGTATGTTAAACAGAGACTGATAAAAGACAAACATACAAACAAACACACACACAGACTGACAGGCAGATCAGATATAGACAGACAGACAAATAGTTAGACAGACAGACAATAGGAAAGAAATGTGAGCATTTGCGAACAAAAACCATACATAGAGTACACAAATTATTGGGAACAGCAAAAGCATAAACAGGGCACAGAACATATATTAATATGTTCAAGTGACATATTAAAATATCAACTTTGAGTAAACAAGAAGGAGAGACAAACAAAACAGAAGAATAGCAAAGAAGTAGAGTAGAACCAACTCGTGGCACCCTTAATTCATCCGTAAATTCAAATGAAATTTCTGAGGACACAAAGATACTAAATAAAATGTTGTGTGGGGGGTTAACTTTGAAGGAGTCGAACAAGATTGGCACAGCAAGAATTTATACGTGCTTACCCCAGTAGAATCCTTATCTGTGGCAACATCAGCACCACCACTGGTTGTGGTTTCTGAGCCCTCAAGCCCACCGCCGGCGAGACCGTCGTTTCCAGCACAGGGCTCATTTTCGGTCCTCGACCCTCCCCCGTTTTGCTGAACCGCTGAGGGCTCTGGTGTTAATCCTTCCGTAGGCTGAGCGTTATCCACAGCTCCTTGACTTGACGAGGACGTCGCCGTGGCATCAGCAGCAACAGTGTCAAGCAGTGTCAGCAGGAGTGGACGTGGCAACAGCAGTGTCACCAGCACCGGAGACGGACGTCTGACTGGTGACCTCCGTGGGTGGCTGGGCGGTGTCCCCGAGGGACGTGGTCGAGTCCTGAGCTCCCTGGCTGTGCTGTGAGGTGACATCGTTGTTTAAGGGTTTGTAGCAGCCTTCGTTTGACGAGGCCGCCCCCGAGTCGGCGTCCTGGCCCGGTTGGGTGATCGCCTCCTTGAACTTCCGGAGCTTGTTGCCCATGGTGACCGGCGGGCGTGGGGAGAAAACCAGAGCAGTTGGAGGTGATGCAGGAGGGACGAATGGGGTTTATTGGCCCCTTATGGTCGGTATATATACAGCAGAAGAGGTGAAAGCTTTTCTCACTGAAAGCTTTGATTATCCCAATTTGTACGGAAGATGTTCCACACTTGCTCCGAAATTTCAAACAAAAACAAATTCACCACAAAGACGAAATATATATTCCGCAGAACGAACGGTGAGTCCACCCACAACAGAGTATGAGCAAACTACTTCCAAATCACAAGCACAACTTTATACTCTAAAGCAATGTACCCAGCGTAGAGAAATCAGGAGTCCCTGTGGTAAAATACACCCGATTACACGCGAATATTATAGCTATCCTTGTCAATCTAGGCCGCCTAGATCTTTACTTCGCACGCACGGTTCACGCCAAAGCAAGGTTGACAGTCTGTTTACCACAACACATTGCTCATAACGCCGCCATACACAGCGCACAACTCACAAGTTCACAACCTAGAGAGAAAGGCCAAACACTCAATATGGACGAGCAAACAACACGGAGCTTTGCCAGCAAACACAGAACAATCGCCCGAAGGAAATCGTTGAATACCAAATTTCTTAAAATGACTTTCGCTTCTACAAGATGAGAAAAACCACAAGGCCGGAAATGAACAGCAGAACCAAAACAAAACAAAAACTGAACCAAATTTTGGTGGAGAAGTTGCCGAGGAGAAGTACCAGGACAAAACTGAAGTCACTACGAATGCGGGAAAGGGAGGGGGGGCGCAAGAGACAAACTGGAAGAAACAAAACCAATAAGAGGCGTCCTCCAAAAAAAAAACCACATTAAAAACGAAACAAGATATTCTTCTCAAAGCTCAACTGCCAGAAAAAGACACCCATAATACTCATACATTGGAAACATGATGCAAGCCACAAAAAAGCAAATAATAGAAAAACAAAAAGGGATACTGAAAAAAACGGGGACGCAACAAGGATAAGTAATACCTCTGAAAGCACAACACTCGTGAATGTGACAGACAGCAAAAGGAGGAAAGAGCCCAATTGGGCCAATTCACATCCACTCCAGTACTATACCGCATGCAGCCAACGCACTGTACAGAACACGTCCAATTGTATAAATTCTGCATGTAGTCTAATTTCAAAGCCTACATAAAAATAATAACTGAATGAATTCAGCAATTAGCCGTACACTACCTCACTACTTAGTCTAACACAATAAAGGGAGCTATATTTCAGGCACCCCAAATCACCCTTGGCCTTTACAACAAATGTACAAACCTCTTCAACTGTGTATGAGAATGTAGTGCTTCAAAGCGAACACACGCTAAATTGGCCTATCAAATGCAAAGCCATGTAAGTGGTGATGGCTAGTCACCAATGGTTTATCATTGTCTTCACAACGGGGTGCCTAATAGCCTCGAACCCCGAGATATCACGCAAAGAAGACAATATCGCAGAAGTGGGAAAAGTGACAGAGTGAGCACGACACTATACATGCAAAAATCACTGACCGTAAGCTGTCACCCATAGTATCACCTACCACCCCTCTTTTACGAATAAACCCAAATACGCGAACACAATGTTCATTGTGAACAGCAAGTGCCATAAACAAGTTGTATGGTTTTTACCTGCCAAAGAAGTAAACTGAAGCGGACAATTTAGAACGCAGAAGCTATTTTTGTATTATGGAAAGGAAAAGAAATCTTGATTTTATTACTGTGACTTCAAGGAGCGGAATGAAGGTGTCAACCATCTTCGCACGGTCATCACTGCCCATGCAAACAAATAAATTAGCTTTCAGTGTGCCTACAAATGGCTCACATGGCAGCTACATCTTTTTCAGTATACAAAGTACTGCATATATACCATTATTATTATTATTATTATTATTGTTATTATTATTATTATTACTACTACTACTACTGTTATTATCATTTTATTATAATCATTATCATGATAATTATTACTATTATCATTTGGTCAACTCATAGATCTGTGAGCTCTACGCCGAAGAAAAGAGCAAAAATGGCTAATATAGAACAACATTGTTACACACACAGGGAATTTCACCAGCAATAAGTGATTAATAAACAGTGAAAGCTTCTCACAAAAGTAAGATAATACAGAATCGTGCGTGTGTTTTCATTAACATCACGCAAGTATTTTTATACGACCAATCACAGGCACACAAATTGGAGAGCTTTTGCTCAGCGAAACCCGACACAATGTTGATTACCGTATTCTAAATTGATCGAACTACTGTATTTCGAAATGTCCGTAATTCTGAGAGGCGGGATCGTTAATCACATCACGTGAAGTCACTGCCATGTGTGCCAGACAGTACTTTTCCCTTTCTTAATATACCATACGTCATAGCGGGGTCTATTCAATGAAAATAAACCTCTAGTTTAGTTACCCCTATCATCAATCTTTCAACGATAATTTTAGAAATAATAACATTGTTCAATTAAAACTATACACTTGCTCTTCCCCGTATCAACAAGAACACAAAAAAGAGAAAAAAGCAGGCGCCAAAACAGTTGAAAAAATAAATACGTACATTTTAAAAAATGGAGGCGCCAAAACAATTTTCTTTTCAAGTTTGTAAAGACATACCCCCAAGGGCACGATTGCCTGCTTGCAATGTATACTGCAACCTCAACAAATTTCTCCCAGAAGAGAACATGGAACAGTCAACGAAACCGTTGGCTTATGTCATTGGATCAAGACCTTTCTGAGAAAAGCCTCTGATGAAAACGTTTCAGTAAAAAGTACCGCAGGTATCATGCCTCTGATAATGTCTAATACTGAGACAATGCACCAGTTATGAAAGGTATTGTTGACTATCAATGAGTTAAGCACGCATGCTGTGACGAGAATATATTTCAGACATTCCTCTCAATCGCTTGTGTACTAACAAGATATTTACACTCGTAAAGGTATATAATATATATATCGGAAAACGTGTCCTCCCGCTTAGCCTCTCATTCCCCTCCAACAGTCAACGTGGAGTGAGCATCGCCGCCAGCCGCAGCCATAAGGTAGAATCAATACTGCCTCCTACCCCAACCACTTTTTTCTACTCCTTCCCCTTTCCCTTTTTACAAAGAGTCTCCCACGGCAGATATTGACTGGCCAATTTCGAGTTCCCAAGAACAAAGCCTCGAGCCATTGATTCCAACTACCAATTGTGAAAATGTCATACTTGCGAGAACAAACCATGAGAACTTAAGATCTATTGTACTGAGCCGCAACAGAACGTCCTTTTACTGAGAGCATAAGTCTGGTGGAGGGACGGGAGCACACAGGTAGGACTCAGTGTTGGGCGATAGGATGGGGAATTAAGGTGTGAGAGGCGGTGAGGGTGGGGGACGGGGGTGGTCCAGACACAAGAATTCCGGAGGGTTTCAGTTTTGGTTATGTTTGTTTGTTTGTTTTTGTTGTTGTTTGTTTTATTTTGGTTTGGTTTTTTGCTTTTTGATGAGTTTTTTTTTGTTTTTTTTTGGGGGGGGTTTGAGGTGCTTGTTTTTCCTGAAGTGTTCTAAGACAATGTGTTAACATAAATGCCCATCACAGTGTCAAAACATCACCTCTCGTAGACAAAAATATAAGGAAAGTTTACTAACCCTCTCAAATTAAAAAATCTTCCGAATTTCCAGTAGCAACACTGAACTTCGATAGAAAAAAACAACAACACAATAAGTGCTTTTTCAAATTGTCTTGTTCAGCTAAATTAAATAAAATCGCATGAAATCAATAGCCAGCATAACATAAATTTCCCATCACACAAGTCGACTTCGATGCCACACCTTGTTCAAATGACGCACGGTAAATATATCGAGCAAAACATACTGACGGCAAGACGTGTGGTACACATATTAAGATACGTTACAATCGAAAACTAAGATATCTACATTTTTAATCGGATTCTTAATGAATTGATCTGAACTTAGACTAAGATGGACTACTGCTTTCTATACCAAACATGTATGTTCTGATTCGATAATCAATTAGACTAGGGGAGCGACAGACTGGTAATCTAGAGCAAGCGTCGCGCAAACAGTGATGAATTTAATCGTTTCAAACTCCAAAACGGAGAGTAATGAGGAATGCATACCAACGAAACCTGAGCTTAAGTTCAAAATCCTTACGGTTGGTTGAGCTCATGAGATCGCTTCTCGGAGTCAAGTATGTCTAACGGTGGGGTTATTTGAATACCAAAATTCGCGCACTGACATAATATATACGAGTACTCAGTTACAATTACATTTCCAACAATAACACAGTACGCAAGACGAGACTTTCGATTTCAATACGTTAAAATCGTTCCCAAAATCAAAGAAATGTGAGTCTTAAGTTTTGAGAGGCTTATAAATATTAATGATTAAGGCCACTGAGGAAGAAAAACCCGGCTGAAAGAGGATTTCAACGCAGAAACCATAACATATGGAACAAGTGCATTACATTAATTACGGACAGTTCCTTGATTAGAGAACCAGCAAGCCACATGGAAGTGATATATGGACAAAGTCCCTGACGGGGTGTCGGTAAACATTTTATCGCAACAGACTCCATGACAACGAGGTGCGCATAGCACCAGGGAACTATTCGATACGGCACACAAGACAATTGACATTTTATCGCAATTCGTGAAACTATTGCGGCGCAAGGCAGTACAAACGATCGACAAGATTTGCATCAATCAAACAGATTCTAGTTCTGTTGATGTTACACATAAAACCATTTAATCATTTAAAATCAATGATGAATTCTTTACGCCCAGAACGTCAATACGTGTATTTGAGTCCCTGCAACAATTCTGAGCAAAAAGTACTTTGCTGCTTTTCTAAATGCAAAGTAATAAACAACAAATCTTTCCTGAATAAAGGACCCAAATTTCATTTTTATGCAGTCATACAAAACAACGGTACTCGAAGTCTTCACATGCAGTATGCAAAACTAAAAGAATTGGGACATCATGGAGGAGCACATGGGGAAAACAGAAGAAAAAAAACGCACGGATACAGACGTTTTTCCTTTTCTATCCACTATGAAAAGGAAAAAAACTGGCAAAACATTTTTCTTGCAAAACTCTGTCCCGAAGAGAGCATCACGTATGGTGCTCAAGACATTCACACGTCCAGAAGCCTTGATTACACATGACATACTTAAGATCTAGAGAATAAATGCTTGTCACGTCAGACTCAACGCTGCATTGCTACCACAAAAAACAACCCCAACATTTAAAATGTGTAAAAGGTATAGGTTTAACAACGCCCCTAATAACACAATTAGCTTATTTAAAAGGCGGGCTGACACTTAGGACAACAAAATATGATATAAAAATAATGCCGCACACCCCTCCCGTTTTCAACAAATTTAATGCCCGCGTAAAGAACACAGGCTGGAAAAGAGAGCTCAGAAAATTTGCTTTGCTCTCTTTAAAAACACATCCATCATACAAAGATCTTCACAATGAGTGTCATTTCAAGCGCATAGCTGTGAGCTGACACAGAACCACGCTTCCGCTGAGGTAAGCGTGCAAAATATGAGTGTGTATTAATTTATACACACACATAAACAAGCACACACACACACACACATGCACACACACACACACACACATACACACACACGTACAAACACAAACACACACACACACAAACACACACACACACACACACACACACACACACATACGCACACACACATTACAATGTACATACGATGAGTGGTGAATGTGAGGGGTAGTGCTATGGCGATAAATAATTCGGTGAGAAAATGTTTTAAAACAAGCCAAGCACGAAGCTTGCTTTTGTTACAGTTTATTTGATTATTATCATCATCATTAATATTGCTGTTGTAGCTGCTGCAATTGGGATTTTGTTTTCCGATGTTGTTTTTGTTTTTCTGTTTTGGGGTTTTGCTTTTACTTTTGCTTTTTATTTGTTAGGGTTTTTTATGTTCGTTGTTGTTGTTGTTGTTGATGATGATGATGATGATGATGATGATGATGATGATGATGATGATGATGATGCTATAGTTATTGTTGTTAATGCAGTTGAAACTGGGCGAAATCTAAATTTCAACAATAACAAAATAGGTCGGAAAGCACACACTGAAAATAAGTAGACAGAGAAGAGCACACTAGAACCCCCACCGTCCACCCGTGAAGACTAACTGCCGGTATAACACCGCACAAACAGCAGCCACACGCAGGCGTCCCTGTCATGACATATAGTTCAGAAATGACACGAGCGGAATATGCCTGCCACAGCCACAATCGGCCGTGACAGCAAGGCCCAGCCACATCACACTGGTACATAACAGTCTCCTTGATGGCCTGATCAGACAAGAAGAGAAGAAAAATGTCCCCCAAATGAGAAGAATTATGTTACTGTGGGGCAAAACTGTTGGCTGAACCAAAGCACACGAGAGCATGTCAAAACGCCAAAGGAGTGTTAGAGGCCAAGCTGTCACGGAAAATTGAATTTTAGCAGAGAAATGGCAAGCGTGGGCCCGGGAGACTGCTTTTTTCTCTATCCCATCTCGGTTTCTTTTCACCTAGCATATTATGCAACTGGACGTGTGATGATGAATTGTGCAGTAATATGCATCCAAAAGTGGCGGTATCGATTTATCAGAGCAAATATTATATTGACCAAATCCTCCTCTCCAAATCTTCAATCAACCCTTTGGGGAAAGTAAAATCCCAGCCCCAGTTTCGAGAAGGGAAGGGAAGAATGTTGTCTGTTTCCCGCACCCCCTTCCCCCTCCTTTATTCGAATCTACAGTACCAAGTAAAAAGGCATTTTCGACAAGCTGCCTATTTTGGACATTCAGTGTCACTGTATAGGTTTAACGCCCTTTTCAACACTTAAAGGTTATTCGTTTATTCGTGAGGCGGGATCTCGGAATTTAGCACCCTTCTCCAAAAACGAAAGAGTGGTGACTACCAAATATTATTCTGTTGTTTCTTTTTCGGGAAAAATATGACTGACAGAAACAACAGGGGAGAAGTAAAGAAGTAAAATCTATCAGTGGCGCTCTCCATCCACCCGCCCACACAATGTGACAACATTGCTTTTAGGACAAAATTTCAAGCGATTCAGTGAGTAACAAGAGCCACAGCTCTCATTAATTAAACAAACCAGGACAACAGGAACACAGAGCACGCTCAGGAGAAGCACACCACACAAGAGCGCCGGAAACCACCCACCGACACAGAGTAAATGGCAACGAAAGGGCAACGCTTCAATTCAGTAATGTGTGGCGCCCTAGACACTCTGACATCCAGACACAAATGTCTGCTCAGGTTCCGTTACAACTCAAGCATGATCATCTATTTATTAACGAGTAGATCTCATTCAGACATATCAAAATTCTTTTCAAACCCAAAGACCCTTTTATATCGATAACATAACTAGCACATCCAAAATTGTTGCCACGTGGACTTAATTAGAAAATTACACTAAAACCAAGAATCCATTACGACCAAACGGCAGAAACTTTGCAACATTCTGAAGTGTATTTCATTTCCTCAAAATCTGACAGACATGAATCATTCCTTAAATAGATCAAACACATCAGTAAAGAAAGACGAATCGTTGACAAGATAGGTAACAGCAGGATACACAAAAAACAACTTTGGAAATCACCGAAAAAAATGAAACCATCCCTAACAATGAACGCATTCCGAACTTCCTGCACACGCGGAATATACAAATGGTGGGAAAAGTGGGACACAATTAAGAGACGATTAGTAAGCAGAGCCAGAACAGCAAGCCTGTCACAAACCCCACCTCTCCTGCTGTGTCGTTCGCTTACTATGTACTCACCAAGCGCGACGCGAGCCGCGAAACTCTGCTCATGGGCGGAGAGTGTATTCAGTTACTATTGATCCAGCCCTTCTGCTATCTCAATAACATTGGGAAAATCCGAGAACACTCGCCAAACGCCCCGATCTGGTAGAGACCAGAGAATCTGCAAAACGGCACACGGTGCCCCCACCCCCTCTCTCCTCCCCCCAAACGCCCTAAACGAGATGACAAGAAAAAATAAACAAAAGAGACATCCCATCGCTTTATTTTTCAAATTAATTTTCAAAGCTTTTTAATCTAAAAAACATATGGCCTTACTAAAACACAAAACATGTAGGCCAAAAGCACTCAAGATTGTGACCAGCGCTCACATTCATACGAAAAAAATAACTAAAACAGCCGTATAAAGTTGTTAAATCCTTTATATAATAGAAACTTAGCGAAAAACCCAAGATGGCGGACTCTACTTTCAATCAAACTATTGCAGCAATTCCACTGCATTGCATCGATATGCAAGAGGACCCTAGGATAGACGACATGATAAGGACAGCGACAACAGCGCCAGGGATAAACCAAGGATCCAGTTGCCCAAGCACGTTCCATGTCGTTTCCTACGCATTTTCTTCCCAGCTCTTGGGCGGCTTCGTTAAGAGAATTCGCTTCGAAGAGACAACCAGACCGCAGTCTGAATAGAAATGAAACAGCTTTAGCACGAAGAAAAGAAGCACATGAAAAATAAAAATTCAATGCAACAATTTCAATTGAGTTGTAACGATACACTGAGCTATGAGAAACAAAAACAACAAAACCATCACTTAGAAAGACGCTGTTGTTTTGGGTTGTTGATGGGTTTGGTTGTAGTTTGCTTGGGTAGTTTTTGCTTTTTGTTGTTTTTTTTCAGTTTGTTTGGGGTTTGTTTGTTTTTTTGGTTTGTATGTTTTGGAGTTAACGTTTTTGTTTTTAAACGGAACCAGGCTCAGACTAAAAAGAAAAACAATAAATGCAAAAGCAGCTACAAAAAGCGGGTTTTCGCAAACAGCTTTTTAAACAACGAATATAAAAGCTCAGATCTAAAAGAAAGAAAAGATTCAAAACAAACCAAAGCATAGTCTCCGTCAATAAAGTGAGGGGGAGGAAGAGGAAGATTCAAAAACATTAAAAGGAAAAGAACCACACAGAAAAGTTCCCTATTGAGGAATTACAACTTCGAAAAATCCACTTGGGCGAACAGCACACGGCTCGCACGACAGATCAATAATATTTCAGAGGTCTATACAGGCTCTGAGTACTCGCACAGACCTATCCGTGCACATTCACAAGTCACCAAGAACTCTGCAGAATCAACAACTGGCCCGACAGAACAAACCATTAGCCAAAGCAGCGCTGGCGCGTCGCATCCGTTCATGCGGTGGCCGACACAGCTCACCGACTGCTCTGCATTTGGCTCAAGAGCGACTAGCGGCATGTGGGGTGACACGGATGGAGAGCGGACATCCCTACGCAAGAGACAAAACAGGGTCACAGTCCAAGGGAGGGGGGGAGATTTGGGAGGGTGGGGGGAGGGTGGTGGAGTTCGAAAGAAAATAAGTGAGTGAGTGAGTGAGTGAGTGAGTGAGAGAGTGAGTGAGTGAGTGAGTGAGTGAGTGGGTTTGAATAATGTGCTAGTGAGAGAGTGGGCTAAGACTACAAGTGGTGAGCAAAAGTGAGTGAGTGACTGACTGACTGAAACAGTAGTTTTGAATCATTTGAATGTTAGGAAGTGGATGCAAAATCCCCAACAGAAAGACGGAAGAAATACTTGATAAAACAAACCTCGCCATGTAGGAATCGAATTCACATCTTCCGAGTACAAGGTGTAAAGCCTTGAAAGAAAGAAAGAATGTATCGGTGAATCTAAGAGAAAGACAGA